CCCCCCCCAACCTCTGGTAGCCTTGCTGGTGACGAGTCTAATAGTTAAGTAACAGTTGCATGTCGCTCTGTGTCAGGTATGAATGGCATAAGTTGGGTGTATGACAGACAACATAGAGATTTCCCACAGATTGACACGTCATCTGTCTTCGTGGAGGGCTCCCCAACTTCTGCTTTTGTGGCAAAGAGACAAGGGAGCTGTGCTACCTCTGTATTCGTTGGAGACCTTCATTTGACTGGTGTTGCCTCTGCCTCGTGGCCTTCACGCCTCTTCTCTGTTGTTCCGAGCTCATGGTGAGTTCCCTGGGAGCGACCTGAGAATGGAGTGCCCATCTGGAACCACATAAGCAGTTTGTTTTCCCGGAGCCCATTTGTCCTTGTCCCTCCCACTGAGACCAGTGTGCTTGGTCCTGGGGGTGAGAGTGGGGAGAATGACGGACATGTGATCTTCCTCATTTTCTTTTCTCCAATTCCCAGCATGCCTGCGGAGGTGACAGACCGGGAGACCAGACTGCTATATTCTCTGGGAAGCAGCAGGAGGTGGAATATGGGTCCAGAAAGGGCTCCAGGAAGAGGCAGCCCTGAAGGGAGCCATCAGGACAGAAGAGTTATACAACCACAGCCTCGGAGGACCTCCTTCAGTTCACCTCCCTGTATTAGAAATTAGGTAAACCTCAAGCATGACATGAAAATTCGCTCTGCTTTGCCCACATCTAATAAAATGTATTTGGAGCAAAGGCTGCTGGAGGGGAAGATGCTCTGATTCCATATCTCTCTCTCTCTCTCTCTCTCTCTCTCTCTCTCTCTCTCTCTCTCTCTCTCTTTCTCTCTCTTGCAGAAAGGATGAGAAGCTGCAATTTCCCCGAGGCCAAAGCCAGCCATATCCATCCCCTCGTGGACATCTCGGTTCTCGTGATCTGCAAAACAGAAGCAGGAGACAAAAGCAAAGGCTGTCCACCTCTCCAGGAGGGGAGCAAGAATGAGCAGAAGCTGTGGGTTTACAGCCTAGGTTTCTCTTCTCCTTAACAAGACTCTGGCCCCACGCCCTGGACGCCTCATCGGTGGCGGCAGCTGAGGCAAATGGATTTATCCTTTGAGGACTGCAAGCTGTTGCCCTTCACATCAAAGGAACGCCGCTATCCAGACTCTCAAAACACGTACATCGCTTTTTTCTTTAGTTCCTTTCTGCTCTTTTTGCTGTCTGGTATTTTGGAGCAAAGCATGGTGGTCATCAATTAATCTTAATTTTTCTCCCCTCCCTTCCTTCCTACTTTCTAATTTTCCTTTCCTTCCTTCCTCTTTCTTCCTTCTATGGTCCCCCCCCCCGCCGTGTGTGTGTGTGTGTGTGTGTGTGTGTGTGTGTGTGTGTGT